CGGCATCGCAAATCGCATGTGCAGAAGAACCGATCTGCCCTGAAACAGCTGATCGGTCCTGAAATGTCACTTCTCTCCGACTGCGATCTTACATTTCACCGCACTCACAAAGTCGGATAGAAGTGACATTTCAGGACCAATCAGCTGTTCCAGGGCAGATCTGTTCCCTGCACACGCGATTTGCGATGCCGATCTGCCCTGGAACAGCGGAGAAAGTGTTGGAATGCTTCACCTATTCCACCGCCGAAAAACTGGGCGAGATTACGTTTAAATGTGTGACCACGTCACTGGTCACACATTCTAACGTAGTCTCAAACTGTGATAGATCACATGCCTACCTGTAATCATTTAATCAGAGAAATAGATTATAATAGGGAACATTACAGTGTAATATTCCCCATTATAATCCACTTTTCTAATTACATAAAATAGCAGTACATAACAGAGAAATAGATTATAATAGGGAACATTACAGTGTAATATTCCCCATTATAATCCACATGTCTAACGACATGAAGTAAGACCCCCCCCCGCCCCGACTCACCTTTCCAGGAGCAGCAGCCATGTGTCGATGTGTGCACTGCAGGGGGCGGGGCGGGTGACACACACACGTCTCCTGTGACTCACCTCCCCTCCCGCCCCGTTACTATAGACGCGGCCGGGATGGGAGGTGAGTCACAGGACCAGCCCCCTCACTGGGAAGCCCGTCGGCAGTGCGGGGCCCCGGTGTTCTAACACCGGGGCCCTGTACTGCCCCATATTGCAGGACCGGATCCCACAGAGGCGGACCCCAGAGCCCGGCGGTAGTTCCGCCACTGCTTCTTGGTCAATGACTCACCTTACTCCTGACCTGTGTTTGGAACATGTTCTGTATCTAGGCTCATCCAATTTCTGACCTAGGCTTTGTCTCTCTGATCCTGCCTTTGATTTGGTTCCCTTTGTTTGCTGACCTTGGCCTGTTCTGTGACTTTGCTTCTGCCTCAGCCCCGTGCCACTCTTCGGTTGCCCACCCTGGTCTACTCTGAGATCCAGCTGCAGACTTCTATGAGTGCCCCTGGTGCCTGCCTGCTTGTGTGATCAATAGACCCTGCTGTCTTGAACTCACACTTCCTCCTCAACTTCTGCTGGTGGTTCCTGTGGTTCCTGTGGCCCCACCAACTGCTCGCCTGACACTTCTGCTGGTACCTCGTGGTTGGCATCAGCAGTTCAAATTTCTGCAAGCAACATCTTGTTCCTCCTCTTGTAACTTCTCTACTACAGCATAACCTGTCTCACTTCCAGGGGTGCTTGGAATGGAGATACAAGAGAGGCTGCCTTCTTAATTTTTGTTTTCTATCATGTATGTGACAGTATGGTGCAAGGGTCCATGGTCATTGTGCATTGTCAGGGACAGGGTGTTCTTGCATTGGAAAGGGGGGCATCTTTAGGCACATACCATACCTGTAAAATGTAAACATACATATGAAAGAATATAACACAAGTTGATATACATACCTCTTCTTTGACTGTTCCAAACTCTGGATCTAGAGCCTTGAAGTGATATCTGTGATTTCCCTCCCTGTCAATGGCTATCTTGAAGTCCCTCAATGTGACCTCCCCTAACCTGTAGGGTACAGGATTAGAAATAAGTAGTACAGTCATACATTAGTGAATGATACATGTTTTTCTTTTTTGTTTTTATAGACACCAGTAGAGTAAATACGTTTTTTCTACTTTCAGACATTTCTATGGAAGGATTATAAACATGAAAACTGTAGCACACATGTTCTGAGGAACAGAAAGGGGCACTGACCCACTCACAGATCTGTTAGAATGGGTCATATACAACAGGAAGCCACATAGTGCAGATCACCAGAGCCATGCAGTATAGACAAGTGTATGCTACTATAGAAAGCTCACCATGGGAAGGGAAAGGGATGGATACACGCAATAAATGTTCACTGATCCTTTATGAAGAGAAATTCCGTGAGGATCTTGGCCCTCAAAGAAGGCTTGTGTGTGCAGAAAGCTGAAAGATAGTTTCAGAACCTTTCCAGTGTTTCTTTTTGGCCGATATATGAATGTAGCCAGCCTAATGCAAATCGTCTCAACTGTATGTGCTTCCTTTTATATTTATACATTTTGTGGCAGTGCGTGGCAATGCCACTATGTAGAGTGGAAAAATGGTCACCCAGGACTCTCAGCCAGAGGGGCTGAGCGGCTCCAGGAAAGTACTGTTACCAGGAAAGAGCTGGTTTTGCAACTCATTCCGAGTTTTCTGGATTATAGCTGGGATCCTGGAGCCGGGAGATTTCTAAGAGAACTGGGAGGGAAGAAATCTCCATTCCTGGGTCCAGGCTTTAGTGGTGACCAGAACCAAATGATGGTGCACCTGCGCAAAGCCCTTTATGAGGAGGGTGCTGGGTCAGGTTCAAGGCTGAAAGTGCTATTTTGGATGAAGAAAGAAAACTGTACCTTGTGTTTGAAAACCCCTGCAAGGGAAAACCTGTATGGACTTTTGAGTTGGATTTAATAAAAGTGGGCAAGGCCTTAAAAGAAGTCATAAGCGAGTGGATGCGTCCTTAATGCGCTACCATTGGAAGCTAACTCTCACAATTTATAAAAGAGGAACCACATTTACCAATGCCATGCTTTATACTTATGTATTACAACACAGGTATTATTAATTACTGTCTACAAGTCTATGGACGCAGCCTGTTCTAATACTGTCTAGGTGACGTGTCTTGTGTTAGATCTTAATTATAGCATATAAAATATTCTGTAAAAACAGTGAAGTGTAAATCACATAGCAAATATCGGATTCATATGTTGCGGAAAACAAAGAACTGATTTAGAGTCATAAATAACATGCTCACTTTAAAGAAATGTTTTCTGTCAGCAAAGGGTTGCCGAACTGAATAACTCGTAAATCTTATGGCTAATATGACACTAATGAGAACCTGTCAAACCACTGTACCTCTTTGGTATGGTGACCATGAAGGGTGTTAGCGAGCGGTCTGTAAAATATAGCACTTTGGTGCAGGAATTACTACTGCCCATTATTGGGGCACTCTGTGAATGAGGCATCTCTGCAATAAAACACAACATACACTTATATTTTGTATATGGCATTAAAATGTTCAATACACAACAATACACAACTCTACTGTTCCAGAAATATGAATACCTGTTCTTATACAAAATTGTTAGGATCACTGTACTTCTATTGTTCTTTAAGCTCCTCATGCACAGTATGGTTGATACTGTGGTCAGTTCTAACACATTTATATTTCATTATATGCCCTGTTATGTGCATTGACGATGCTGCTATTTAATTAATTATAACTTGTGATGCCCAGCTAATAAAACCAAAGCATTTTAGGAACAAACATTTCAAGAGACAACATTTTTTAAATTGCTAGAACTATCCTTGAAAACCATGAGCTGTTGGTAATATCGACTCTAATGAAGATTAGTAATGAGCCCTTGGCTTGGTGCAAACCCAGTTCACCAGAGTTCACCTAAGCCTGCCCAAAACTGTGACTACCACCCCATGCTCTCGACCCAATCAGTGGCAGAAAGGCACATTCTTCGCCCCACAGCTAAAAGTTACAAAGGAAGAAGGCCCCCGCCACAACTGCTGCCACTGACTGGGATGAGAAGGGGGGAGTGACGATCACAGTTTTCAGTAGGCTTGCGCAAACTCAGGTGAACTGGGTTGGCACCGAGCTCAGGCTCATCTCTAAGTCCTGGTTCACACTAAGCATTTTGAAGCACTTTTTCTGCCATAGAAAACGCTCCAAAAATCTGCCCCCCCAAAAAATCTCATTCATTTCTATGGCTCTGTTCACATTTGAGCGTTTTGTTGCAAAAGGGAAAACGCCTGTAGCTGGAAAAAGTACAAGAGCTTTTTTTTTGCGGCATATTACAGCTCGTTTTGACCCCGTAGACTCAATAGGAGACGCTTGAAAATGTTTGCTTGTTTTTATGACCGTTTTATGCCCGTTTGCTTATTAACCTCCTTGGCGGTAATCCCGAGTTAATTTTCAGTATCATAAGGCTGGGTTCACACCTGGGCGTACTATAGGCGCGTTTTTTCAGCTCGTTTTTTGTGAACCCAGCCTAAGCGGTAACCCCGGGAAACTCGGGATTACAGCATAGCGTTACTTACCTTGTCCCTTGAGCCGCGCTGTGCCCCCCGGCCGATGCCGGCATCCGTCTTCCGTCCCTTGCGAGCGTCCGCGTCGCAAGGGGGCGGAACCGGCGGAAGTGCAGAAAGGTTGACGCTGAGGTGTGAACCAGCCCTTATGAAGACTAACAAGCATATCCAATAAATGAGTGCAAGGAGAAATACAAAGTGCAGTTGCAATGTTTTTGAGTAAGCATACAGGTCACTAAGGAAAATCAAATGGCTTTTATTATGCACTTATGAGCTGATATGTACTTCATACTGTTATACCGCAAAGCTTTCACTTTAATTTACACAAATCTAGTAAAAGGAAAAGCAGAGAATTGTGCACAGGATATGAAGATTTCTCTCTGAAGAAACATAAACTCTTTTCTTTTTTTTCTTAAATCAGACCACAAGTCACACATGTAAGTTAATCTGTGGCTGACTGTTAGCCATGGCAAGAAACCGGAACCATTGAAGGCAGAGACTGTGACTGTCTGTCTCTGTCTCACACAGAACGTATCCCTCCTTCATTACTAAAACACAGACATGAAGCAGCACCACTGTCAGTCTGCGTCGTAAAGTAGCCGTTCCTCTCTTGAAATCGAGCCCATTTCTTACTGTCTGAGCCGGGTGGAACAACCGGGATGCACACAGACTCCAAGGACAACTTCTCTCTTCATCTCCTGAAGAAGCGCTATCTAGCGCGAAACGTCGAGAAAATCAAGCTCCTCCATCACTCTTTTTATACTGATCATGTATTGTGTCCATGAATTATCACATCATGTTTTCTAATCATCTAATCATGTTCCATTGTAAAAAATCTCTAAATGTTATCTTTCTTTGAATGAACTATAATCAGTGTGGAGGAAGCCTATAGGAGAATCATGTTGTCAAAAATGTTATCCATTCCAATTATTTTTTAATCAAATAAAATCAATATATTTTTTCAACAAAATGTTTGGTTTGTTAAGTTGTCAGTCGGCTGCCCAAAAACCCCAACTTTTCTAATTTTGACATACCAATTTCAGGGGTGTGGCATCCTGTGCTTTGATTCAGGTCATTCTATGCTAAATCAATTCAATCTGACATAGTGATGCACAGCGTGCAAGCACCTACAATTTTGAGGCAACAGAGAGCGCAAAGCATTATGGGACGTTAATGGAGAGGGAAGCGGACACAGCTGAAGGAAACCTCCCACCCTCTACATTGTCCCATGATTGCTGTAATGGAGAATATGGCAAAGCATGGGGGACACTACAGCTGAAGATGTTATGATGAGGGAGAAAAGTTATAAGTCTGTGAACCACCCTCATTTTTAATGGTAGGTTTAGTCTAAAACATAAGTAAACATGACTTAATTATTAAATACAAATTCATAACATAAACACAAGAAACATATTTCACCATCTCATTCAGTTGCATCAATATACTACTTACTAGAGTTGGGGGGCCAGGAGTCTCTGTATTCATTTAAGTCTTTATTTCCAGATACCCTTCCTCTTGCCTAGGATAAAAAACAGAGGAGATTGTAAGGGTCACAGAGAGAGGGAAAAAACAGAGGAGCTGGTTTGGGTCACATGATGCAAAGGCCAAGCACAGCTTTATCTGTTTATTACAGTGTGCAGGCAATTTGTTCTTATTCTAATACCCCCATCCACCCAGCATATAATTGCACACTTGCAGTTTCCTTTCTTTCTATAACACTGAACCCTCATTTTATCCTTACCTTCCTGTCTTGCCTCTTCTGGGTCTCAATGGCATGCAGTCTGTCCATCAGACTAGCTATTCCTTGCTCCAGACTGTCTATAGTGTGATGCTGAGGGTCATGACCGCTAAAGCCATTTCTCAGGCTGCGCAGGGCATCACGGACAAGTTGCAGATCATTGGCCTGAGCAGAAAAGAAAAGGACACGCATATAAATGGCATTTTTAGTTTTGTCATGACCCTTTTATATCTTTCTTACATACTGCCCCACAAGATGGAGTTATGAATCATTCAGAATTGGTACAGAACCATAGAGCGGTATTTGGCTACTTGTCAGGACCAAGGCTTCAGAATTTGGAGCCCTCTCTACTCTCGGTAATTTCTTTGGGCTACATGCTAGTGAATGTAAACTTACATTTACTTTTTATCTTCAGCCTTCTATACAGTACTGTGTATCCTCTTTAGTGGTAAAATGTATCATCATGGCATGCTGCAAAAATACTGCATGTGTACCCTTTAGCCTTGACTGGGCAATGAGATAAGATATGTAATCTACTGTATAGAGTCACAGTCTTACCTTGCTTTGTAAGGCTTAAAGGAGAACCCCATAGTTCTCCTTTAAAGGAAACCAGATATTACCATACCCATCTTCATTCCAATTCTATCATTTACAATTAGTAGTTTTAGTAGTTTTATTATGGTGTGTAAAATCAAATGCTAGACATATTTACTTTCTTGCAAGGTTCCTGTTAGTAGTTTTGGATTGAATATGTATAACCAATAGGTGTCACTGCTGTCCATTATTTTTAATTATCAAATGGGAAATTCAAGTCCAAAGGTACTCGTACAGTATTTTTGCAGCATGGTGGTACATTTTTACCACTAAAGGGGATACATAGTACTGCATAAAGGAGCTCCTCAATACACCAAGACTATTGTTTGGTGCTTATTTTGCTCGTACCTTGACCTCCACATATTGGCAGTTCCATTAAACCTAGAGTGTAACACAAATATTTAAAATAATAGTTGCTCCGATTTAACCCTTTATTTACCACCAGTTAACCTAAATTAACGCTTTCTTCCCCTTAACTACAGCTTGCCTTTTTTTTTACTGTTTGTTACTTGTTTTATTTGCTTGTTTTCGCCATGTTTCTTTAAAGAAATATACACTGATTTTTTTTTTTTTTTAAATGCCTCAATTTTATATGTACATAACTAAATATATACTGTATATGCAGGTGCAGGGGAGCTCAAGTGGTTTAGTGCTGAGAATTATTTACCACTTATTAAATAATAGAATTTTACTCACGGTCCTTTGTGGTATAGGGTCACGCGCAGGACCTTTGCCAGCTGACTGCAGGAAGCCATTAGTCTGTGCTGGGTGGCTGATGTAATTGCTGACCTGTTAACAGAAAATAAAAAAATGATGTCTAATATATATAAAAAACTCTTACTGGAACTATGTTTTCAGAAAATGTAATGACAAATGTCTGCTTACAACAATGGCTCATCTGTGAACCAGGAACCTCCAATGGGAGGGAATCAGGGTCACAATATGGCCTCAGCACTGGGGACGAAGTACAATTGTGCCTGTGCTATACCACCCATATTAATCATTTTCGATTGACTTTTATGAAGTGTTTCCCACTGCAATAACCACTTCCTTTATATACATTTCTGATTTTACAGGTTCTAATCTGAGCTGGTACTGGATCTACTAATGTTTTTATATTGTACTCAAAGGCCTTATACACATAAAGACTACATGAAGAAATATGAATTGTATGCAGTATTCTATCCAGCACATAGAGAGGCACATTTTAGGGTAACAGCTGTTGGATGCCTTGGTCTCATGCAGTGCCATTCACTCTGAATGGCACCCCCATGGACCTTCTCAAAACACTGTGCAACATGCGGAAAAGCAATAACGTGTGTTGCGGTGCACTACTGAAAATGCTGAATGCACAATTTTTGCTCCATTGTGGTGCATTGGACAGCGAACATTTACCAGCTCAGTGAACTGAGCTGGTGTTAATGGGCCTTAGGCTCCTTTCATGTGTTTTCCTGCTTCTACCTTTTTTTAAAAGCCTGTTGCTTACAGTGCTCAGTAGCTCAAACTGAAACTGGCACACACAAAAATAAATCATATGAGTGGCCCATCCTTTATCAGGCAACTCCATCCAATGTTTTATCAAATAAATGATGTGTGAATGCAGGCTGTGCTGAATTTCTGAAGCCCATAGTGCTCAGTGAATCCTTTCTCATGTATAAAGCATAATCTCAATATTAACTAGCAAAGCTGCATTGGTATTTTATGAACAAATGATCTTTTCAGTAGAAAAATCATTTACTGTTTAATTAATGATCTTTTGTATAAAAGATCTTTCACAAGTCTGGCAAGAACTGTTATATGTCTATCGATAGCCTAACACTTGCTGTTCCCTGTTTGTGTTACCGCTACCATAGCTATGTCGCTAGCTTTCTCTCCATATATCCTTTTGCTCTTGATTATCAGTCTTGCTTTCTCCCTATATATCCTTTTGCTCTTGATTATCACTCACTCATTTGTCATCTTTCCTGATACAATTCAGAGGGTCATAACCTAGAAGTACTATGCAACGTTCTATCCTCACAGTCCAAGGTTCTGTTAATGACCAGACACTCTCAGGTTCTGTACCTAGAAGCAAGCCTTTCACCACCTGCTAACAGCTTGACTTTCTGCTGCTGTCTGTCTTGTCTCCTCATTAGTTGTATGTGTGCAGTGTCCCTTGCTTCTGATTAATGTTCCAGCTTTGACTTCTGCAATAACTGACTACCACCTCTGGCTCTCAGCGTTTGGTTTACCCCTTGGCATTCCCACTGGATACTGTCTAAGCTTTTGTTTGTTAACTCCGTAGTCACAACCTCCCTGGAGCTGACCAGCAATACTCTATTGGTCCGTACAACTATTCACTGGAAACTTTAATACTTGCTGTTATCTATAATTTACTTGTATGTGTATATGTGCTCTAAAAGGAAGTTGTGCAAAGGTTGTTCAGTAAAATTGTAATGTGTATGTGACTCCTAAAGAGGAGTATCTCTATTTCATTATAATGGAAGCAGGAGACACTACACTTCTACCTGGTCATCATCTCTGCTCATGTATTGTTGCAGGAAACCCTTCCTGTGGTCTAACTCTTTTTATAGATAATTCTAGAAAGAGAAGTTAGCCAACATTAGCATTAGAAAATGATTAAGCTTTATATACTATACTAGTGAAAGTTTCAAGCTGGAACAAACAAAGACTATACAGACTCTTTTGTTTGTTATCTTCAGTTTAGTGAACTGCAGACTGCAATTTTTTTTTGTTTAGCTGAGATAGATTGTTATTATTTAAAACAGCCATGTTAGCCTTTGGCAGTCCAACAGATGTCAGTGTGTCTGCTCTGTAAATAGCTGCTTTCTTTGTTTCGTATGTTGTGTGAGTGCTTAATCCTTTAGTGACCAGAAACCATTGAAATCTAGATGTCCAGACCAAATTTACCAGCATCTGTTGATCAACTCTACTATAACCCTGGGTCTAATTTGCCTATTTAAATAATTGTTACAATTTTATTTTAATGACATAAAGGACGTTTTTTTTGATACGACATTGTAATAAATTGCCTGCTTATATTTTTATTATAGGTGAACAAATATATACACTACATTTTTTATTCTTATTATGTTAATCCTCTTTAAATAGTAGGGATGTTCAGATACCAAGTACCGTACTCGGCACAAATACAAGTAAAGATACTTTTCTAGCTCCAAGACTAGACTAGAGAAAAATTCTAAAGTTAGGAGGCAGCTGTCATTTGTAAGGAGCACACGGAGCTCCTGGGATTTGTACATCTCAGTTTTATTGTATGATTTGTTGTTTTATAAATATATATATGATGCACCGATACCATTTTTGCAAGTACAAGTACTGATACTTGTCCAAGTACTCACAGATACAAGTACTGATACATTTTTGTTTAGTGTCATGTGACAGTTTTTCTAAAACCATACAGACTAATGATTTCAGGACAGTGGTGGAGCGCCAGAGCCAGGACCCGATGCAACCCTGGTAGTTCTCGTGAAAATGTCAAGTATCTGAACATCCCTATTAAATGATAATTGTATCTTATAGTTACAGTATTAAACAAAGACACATCTTCAGGCTGCAGCGGCATTTGCAGTCTGAAGACAAGATTTGTGTGAATTATCATTCATTCTGCATGTGATCACTTTGTTAAGCTATGTCATTGCATCACATAACCAAGAACCACCCTGGTTTGTTCCTGATTGTTTGTGGAAACTGGAGTTGTTAGTGACAGGCAGGTCTTAGAACTAGCAGCCACACAGTGTTAGCTGCTGGCTGGCAGAAAGGGAACATTCCCTCTTCACCAGCTTTGTGGAGGGGAATGTTATATGGAGCACAACTGCTCCAGATTCTATCTGCTCCAGTTTTTATAAATTCCCCCTAGTGTTGTCTGCATTGTCAGTGCTTATGTATTGTGCATTTAAATTATTGCAACCTGTAAGGGCGTGTTAATTCTTTGCTTTTCTTTACGCTGCTGTCAGTGTTTGGTCTGTCAGTGTTTGGTGAAGATCAGTGTTTGGTGAAGAACTTGCTCAAAAGCTGTGAGGAGTACTATACATTGAAGATGCACTTCAAAAAGGAAACCACAGCCAAACTGCAGCACACAGGATATTTTAACAACATGCTGCACAACGATGCACTGGTGATTGAAAACAATGGAGCCTAAATCTCATAAATGTGAATGGGCCCCTTGAGTGCAATCGAAAGATGTCTCAAGATCAATTTGTTTTTTTAACTTCTGCTGTTCATTGCCTCTCAGCAAAAAGGGACTCATTTCTAATAGCAAAGTAAGAACAAAATACTGGAAAAGAGAATCTGGTTGTGAGAGGCAATCCCAGTTCAAAAACACGTAGGATGCACAAAACAATTTTTATTTTTACTGCTGGGCATTGTTTTGTACACATTTTGTAGAAAGCTCTTTCGGATCACTTCTGTACAACATTACCGTAAATCTAAAGAATTATTTAGTGGCTAATGATGGTGAAACAATTTACAGGCCGATAAGTTGGTGATGAGTTTTGTGGAATACACAAACAAGTATGAATAATTAATCGGCTGTTTATGAAGGCACCATCTGGTGTTCACATGTTTATAGCAGCCTACGCACTCCAGCCATATGTACAAATGAGGATCAATTAGCCAGAAAATGGAGAACCTGGGACCAGTAAAAGTCTGATATACCTTGTGCTTTTAGAAGTTGAGAAAACAGAATTGTCTCTGTTGAGGTGAAATGAGACAAGTTAACATATGCTGATTTGTTACATAAAGAGAACAGCCTGTGGTTTTAACATAGGCAATAGTTAACATGCCCGCCTTACAGCACTAAAGGCATGGTTCAGTTCCATCTGCATTGCGTTTTTGTGCTGGTGTCCATTTTCTCTGGATATTTTGGCTCCTTCCAATAAAAAAAACAAACACAGCACTGATAGGTTAATCAGCTTCCCTCTGAAACTGGCCATATAATGTGTGGGTGTGTAGACACTAGAGAGCAGTCACCCAGGGACGGCCTTAGGGGTGTGCGGCCGCACAGGGCGCCATGGCAACAAGGGCGCCGTGCGGCCGACACAGCTCGTCCTGGGGGCGGCTTACACCCATGCAGGGATGATTTGAGTACCCTTAGGCACTTATAGCTACAGATAGCGTTAAACAAACATGGTCACTGCACACCCATGTCAGATCAATTATCCTTTATTGGAAAGTGATAAGACAACACCCCCTGCCTGAGTCCATAGATGTATTTTACCCTACAAAGGGCTTATTCAAGGAGATTAGGCTAAAATACATATACAGGTATATGAACATCTCACTTTGCCAAGTGTTTGTGCTTAGTCAGGCCCGGATTTACTCTCTCTGCTGCCCCAAGGCCAGGTTCCTCAATGCGCCCCATACTCGCCAAGCCCACCACGTGGAGAATGGCAGACCTGCAGGCTGCACACAAGTGATCTTGATGACATCGCCAGGATCACTTGCACAAAACAAGTGGTGGCTTCCCTGCTGTACATTCAGCTCTGCTTGCCCACAGCAGGGCTAAATGTAGAAAACAACTACCCGCCCGGAACTGCATGTCCCGGGAGCTGGAAGATAGAAATTCCGCACTCCTGCTACCCCTCTACTCCCTGCTGCCCAAGGCCAGGCCTCGGTTGGCCTTGTGGGAAATCCGGCCCTGTGCTTAGTCTATGCAGATGGAAGATAGAAGGCATGGCAGACACCTCCTGGCCATTCTTAGTGCTGAGAAAAAAACACTGGCAAAATAAAGTTTTGACACTTGCCTAATAACTATCAGCTGATGGCCAGTACTATGAGATCATTGCCCGATACAGCCAAAAACATCTGAAAAAGGCAACTCATCCTTGCTCGTAGATTGGACTGCAGTCACCCGCTTTTTCTTCTCTAAGATTCGGAAAACTAAAGAATGGATGTGACCCACGCAGGGTGAAAGGCTTTGATATTTTTCTGCATGCAAAAAAGCTTGTGTACCAATATCTAGTTAACCCTTCATTATCACACTTGGCAGACAACTTCTCTTTTAGTAAACCTCACCCCCACCGCCGCAAAGATGCCACAGAATGAAATACTTACATTTTTCTCCTCTCCCAAGATCTTTAATGTGCAACAGTTACAATATCAATATGAGGTAAGGGTGTTCATACCACCGTCGTAGACTAATTTAACCTGAGCGGTCTGTCCTCCATTGTCTGTCACTCTATCTATCAGTCACAGTGCATATTTGTCAATGTATCACCCAGGCACTGCCCCCATTGCTTAAGAATCTATATCCACCCACCACACTCTGCCAGCTTATGTTAATATTTGTGTGGACATCTGTCAATCAGTGTCTATCTGGCTAAAGCTGGCCAGTTAGATTTTCCCTTTAATTTGATCTGTTACATATGCAACATTACCAATGACTATGTAGTGCAAGGCCTAATGTGATCCATTCTATTCATGTACAGTCACAGTCAGGTAGACTCTTCTAGTATAGTGTGTGTATATGGACAGCAAAAAGGCTTGTATGCACATATGTTTGTATTTAGCTGTTGACATATGTATGTAAAGCATGTTTGATGATATGGGAAACACTGTTTGAATTTTAAATGTGGTTATATGGCCAGCTTTAGTTTCATTGTAGCTTTTGCCATGTATGTTTTTAAATACAGTAATTTATATACTGCTGCCTTTGAACTGCTGCAATTTCTATATAGAAGTAAACAAATATGTTTTATAGATGAATGGTAAATGCATCTCCAAAGCAATACAATTTCCAATGGAGACACCTAAATGCATGTTATCCTGATGTCTGATGCCCATGTATACAAGGCCACAATGGTACTTATATATTTTTTTTCTCCAGTTTTTTTTTTTAATGACACTGAAAAAAGTGGCACTGCTGTTCATAGTGACCAGTCCGGTTGCATCTGTTATTCTCTAGGAAAATGGATCTGTTTGGCTTCTAATGACAACAACTGCTTTTGTTATCATTTTTTTAATCAAAAGTTGTGTTAGTTTTGTTATGCTCTACGCATTAGGCTTTTGACAACGAGTATTATTTATATGGTCGATTCACTCCTCTACGAATCCTAATATTATCATCATTGGCAGCAGGTGATTCATCGTCCCATATGGCCACATAATCAGGCAAGCCTACTACCCCAATGCCAACGACGCTCAATCAGACGTACCTTTTGATAGTTGGCTTCCGAGAGTTTTCTATGTGCCTCATCTAGTTTCCCCTGCATCTGCTGTATAAGCCAGTCCTTTTGTGTGATTTCTTTCTGTATAAGAATGGGGTTCATTGTAAAATGTATTTCATTTTTTTCCTTATGTTACTGTTACATCACTCAGCAATTCATTAAAAGACACACACACAAAAGGGTATATACTTACTTTATATTCTCCATTTAACTGATTTCTTTCTTCCAATTTTCTTTGCAAATCCACCTTTAAAAAAGTAGTTTAAATGTTTTCAGTTTTTCATCCCCGTGTATATGGGTGTTCATATATGGCTTGGAACAGCAAATTATACAACATATTCAGGCCTAGCTCATGTGTTAAAGCAGACCTACCATGCCAAAGGGAATGTCTGCTTTTTTGCCGGCTCCCCCCCCCCCCCCCGCCCCCCCAACACAATTGGCTTCATAAAGGCATTTTTAAACAACCAGATTGGCCCCGCAAAAAAGGACTTACCTTGGCCCCTGGGCTACATCACTCCCAGAGGGCACAGATGACAACACTGTCCCTTCTTGCAGACCTGGGAGCCCGAAATCCAGAGGGGTCAGGTGATCTGTTTGTTTACAAATGGATTTTTAAAGAGCAAAACAAGCCTTTCCAAGCACTGATCGTACACAGAGGAGTGCATGGAGGCGGTTTTTCAGGCAGAGGGTAATGACATGCCACCTGCTTCCTGATTGTCCGGGAAGCTGGCTCCATGTCGTTTGACCTGCTCAATTGTGATTGGTCGGGAAACCGGTTTCCCAGCCAATCGGCATGAAGCTGGCTTGCCGGCGGCGAGTAATAACGCATCTCTCAACTTCCTGATTAGCCAGGAAGCCGGCTCCATGCCGATTCGTCAGGAAGCCTGCTTCCTAGCCTATGAGGAAGTTGGGAGCCGGCTTGATGCTGATTGGCCGCGGAGCCGGATTCCCGGCCAATCAAGAAGCCGGGAGGCAGGTCATTACTCGCAGCCCAGCTTCCTGATTGCCAAGGAAGCTGATTCTATGTTCCCCTACGGCACTGCACGGCAAATCTTCCTCTGACCGGAAATTCCGGTATCAGGGAAGGTATTGGAGCATTTGGGCGAGTACAAGTACTAGCCCAAATACTCGGTATGGGCACCGATACCGATACTAGTATCGGTATCGGTGCATCCCTAGTACATATTATTGAATGCACAGACTTTATGAGGTGTTGGAAAATATGTGCTTAGGTTGAACAACAGTTCTATCTTTTCTATAAAGAACAAGTAACAAATCACATCAGTGTGTGTTCCACATGCTGGCTTGGTCAGAGAGATCACTGCGGATCCTGAAGGAATGACAGGCACACCTCACACTGCCCATCTTTACAGGTTAGTCTTTTCATTCATTGAAACACAAATGTCTCATAGCTTACATTTTGGTTATGGAGTTCATCTTTGTCCATGTTTGTCCGCAACAACTCCTGCTTCAGTTGAAGAACAGAACTTTCTTGCTGAGCCATTCTCTGCTGCAAGGCATCCTGGAAAAATCCAGAAAACAAACATTACATATCCATAGTAGTGGATATTTTTTGTGTTATCATATATAATATTTAGATTCATGTGAAAAAATGCAGCTGTCAATATTCATATCTACCCATAAATAAAGCATGCAGCTAGTGAAAAGTGAAAATTGATTTTTAGGTGGTATATACCTAGTCTTATTTTCATCTAGAAAATAATCATCCCCCAAGATGCAGTCTGCACCTTGTTCAGTTCTTCAGGTTTATCTTGAGCTAAATTGGTAGCTAGTTGTCATGGCAAATTCACTTATGTGAAAGGCGATGGAAAGAGCAAGTAAAGTCATGAAAACAGTTTGGCACACTTTGCTCCTTTTAAGTACTCTTAGTTTTCACAAAGACAACCTGATGGGAGGAGGGCACATACTTTATGTGGTCACTAAAATGTTGTATACATATATCACTAAATTGCTGGCACCCTAAAGGCCCCAAAAACCAGGGTGCTCCTTTATGTGAATCTGAGCTTCTGAAGAGAAAGTCATACCCCATACTACACCTCACTCTTGGGTGATTAGAATGATGGGTAGCCTTGCTAACCAATAGTGAGGTATTGGCCAAAGCTAGACTTTCAATGCTCAGGTCATGATTTGCATAAAAGTACCCAGGAATTTGAGGCTCCCATAACTTTAACCTTACTATAGCTTAAAAATAACAGGTTTACTTTCATTTTGAGAAGCAGATAGGCTCACCAAAAAACAATGAGATGTGTCACTAAGTGCAATGGAGGGCGAAATATGCTTGTCCAGAAACAACTTTCTATGCCACCAGACACTGTCATGTTATCTCAGAAATGTTTTAAAAATACATTTTGGAAAAGCATTGTAAAATGCTTACTCCTTTTCTGCAGAGAATGCTACAGACAAAACCTGCCCACCCAGAAGTTTTGGAACTTCTTATCACATATAAAGGTTTTCTAATGGTTAGAACTCATAGAGAAAGCCATACAAAGTCCAATGCTCACTGAATCTCACAAAAGATGCTTAAAGGAGAACTATGGGGTCAGTGTTTTTCCCCATAGTTCTCCTTAGGGTAACGGGAGGACACAAACTAGCGTCCTCCCGTTACCCTAAGCTCAGTATACCGCGAGCTACAGCTCGCGGTATACTGAGACGCCGCAGCCGGAGCGGATCCCGACTTAGACGTCGGGATCCGCCCAGCTGCGTGAGTGACAGCTGGCTCTGCCTATCTAGAGGCAGAGCCAGCTGTACCCGCCCCCTCCCCTGTCCGTTCCGCCAGTCAGCGCTGGCAGATCGGAGCGGGGAGAGGGGAATCCAGCCCCTCCCCCTGTCACGGCAGAGAGCCGTGACAGGATCGAGAGGTGAGCGAACCCGGTATGTGTTCGCTCACCTCCCGATCTACTGAGCCGACCTGTGACAGTCTCATTGTCACAGGTCGGCTAGAACTATGAGGTGAGTGGAAATCACTCATCTCATAGTTCTCCTTTAAATCACGCACAATAAAACATGGGGCTATATACAATCACTCTTAATGTTTACTGTAGGCTGGAAGTAATCCTAAGGGCCCATTCACACCAAATATATTAATTTGAATGGGCTGCCAATGCACCGTACTGAACAAACAAGTGGATAGTCACCAATTTTAACAATGCAGAGGTAGTCCATTACTGCATGCAAAATATTTTTATTCCATTACTGCACTAGGGTGCCATTGAAAATGAATGGAAACACAACTCAACATGTGGTGCATTATCATGCATTGTGTTAATGTGCACTTTTCCACCAGACACAGTTCAACAACAAAATAGCCCTTCAGTAGAAATACTTAACGTCAATACATTACTGGCCCCTGCAAAACTTCTACTCATCCACAAGTTTTCAGTCCTCTTCAAAGTTGAATCACAGTCTGCGTCATTCAACTTACTTCCTGTGACCTCAGGCTGTCATGGACACAAACCCTTGGAGTGCATTTTGACACCGGCCTGGGCTCACAGTTCTGCTGACACAAATGGCACTCACATGCCATTAAGTTACTTGCTGCTCCATATCAAATTGAAGTAAATCAGATATCAGATGGTCATAGTAGATGCCTATCATGGCAGAAGAAGATCTTAGCAGATCAGGGCTAAAACAGTCTAATCACTGGCTTGAATTATTCCTTCTATAGGCACTTTTAATATAAGCTTTCCCTTTAAAGTCTCTCTCTCTCTCTCTCTCTCTCTCTCTCTCTCTCTCCTAGCAATCAACAGGGTGGTCCTGGGTTCTCACGTGCAGAGAACTCATCACCAGAGAGATATAAGAAGTCATAAAATGATTCCATCCAAGACCCTCATCCATTCCCTGAGATATCAGTTTGCAGCAGATCTACCTGTTAAGGATGTATATTCAAGTTCATGCAACTCCAGGACATCTAACAAGCTTTATGCAGATGACTTGTGAGAACGTCTCAGCAGTTCATTTTATTTTTATGGTGTGAAGATGAGTCAGTGGTGTAGGAGGAAACTGTATTCTTGTTTATCACATACATATGTGTCACACGCTTACCCTCCTTTGATAACAGAAGCAAAGGCAAATCAGTAAAGACTTCTGCTGCATAGTCACAATTCTTTAAAAACAATATCGTTAGGAAGAGCATGTGTGACATAGATGATACCGAGCACCACATAACAGACAACTACATTGCCATGAGGTGCCCACAGACATAGCATTATTTGTGCAACATTAGGGTTGATTTACTCAGGCTGCTCAAACTGGAAGGGAATGTGTACTTTACAGGGGAAGTTTCTCTTGGCTTATAAATACGGTGACATTTTGCTTTGTAAAGAATACCCAATCATGTGCAAGGAAAATTAGAAAAATATAAAAACAGTATTTTTGCTTGCACATTGGGTGATGGAAGTCAGTGGAGCTTCACCACGTACACTAAACTAAGGGGGAACTTACCTGCAAAGTGCAAATTATCTTGCAAAGTGAACAGCCTATTTACCTTCAGTCAATCAACCTGATTGATTCAGGTATGGCCAGAATGTGAAATTATCATTTGTCTGTATGTACTTCCCAGCCTTCAAATTTTTTTTTTTTTCCTGTGGACTACTGCGGGTGGGGGGTTACAAGTCTGCTTTTCTCATAAAACCCAAAAAATTTTGTTTCTGGAAAGAGTTTTCATATGAAAGATCCTTCGGCAGTCGAATCACACCTACTTATTTGGCCACCATTTAATGCATGTAGGTTACTTTGACCAGGCTAGGGGGGTGGACAAATCAATTTAGTATATTGTTAGAAAGAGAAAGCAAGAGCAGTATACAAGATGGCTGCATGCCAGTGCTTTTCCAGGCACTTAAGTTTACAGTAAGTACATATTGTGTTTTTCCAAATTCCATTAAGCATTAGCTTACACACAATAGCCACGAGATTAGTTCCACATCAGAAAACCCTAACTAGCTTTTAATAATAACAGAGATGTAGAACAATCCAGCCAATCTCAGATCGCTGTACAGGTATCGGGATCCAACAACAAATATCTGACTGTTTAATTTACCTTGATTGCTTGGAGGTTCCGATTTTCCTGTTTGCAGTTCTGGAGTTCTTTCTGAAAGGCACCAAAATGGTGTAACTTATTAACCCCTTCATGACTGAGGCCTTTTTTTCATTTTTTGTACCCATGTTATATTCCACATTTTAGGCCTGAAAAATACTTAAAACCCCCCAAACATTATATATTTTCTGAATGCCAAGACCCTATAGAATAAAATGGTGGTAGTTGCAAATTTTTATGTTGCGCAATATTAGCGCAACTCCTTATTAAACCCCAATATTTAGTGAAAAATTTAATTAAATGCCCCAAAACACAACAAAATACCCATTTTTTAAATGAAATATAAAAGATGAGGTTACAACGAGTAAAACGATATCCAACATGCCCAGGTTACAAATTGCGTGCATCCGTAAAACGGCGAAAAACCCCAGTACCCCAAAAAGTCCATAGAAGACGCTTTACAAGCCCCCACAGGTCATCAATTTAGAGATACCCCAAAATACTGGCCCTAGAATTATTGCTCTCACTCCGGCGTGCGCGGCGATACCCAAAATGTGTAGCGCGTTCGTCGTTTTCATACGTAGG